CATAACCCTAACTCTAACCCTAACCGGCTTATTTTTCTAGATGTCTCTATGTTGTGGTAGGATCCACCTAATTTGCATAGTGGAGTACCGACCATATAAATATGGTTGGTACCGGGAAGACGAGGGGAGGAATCAAGAGATTCAATCCAGAGACTCTGCCCGACTGCGACTAAGTCAACACATTCTCCAGGAACGGTCTTCCCAAGAATATACAAAAGACTATATGTAAATATTGTGTACACTTTCTTGTTTCAATACATTTTGTTCTAAGTACATTTTGTGTTGTATTATTATTCCATGCATTAGTCAAGTTTCAACACTCTACAGCTTTATTCCCTTGCTTCAACTCCTATAACATTATGTGACGTAAATGCACGTTCGTACATGATATATGATAAGCGAGATGGAAAATAAGATGGGTATTTAGTGAACAAGACTTATGAATGTGCGGATAAAACTGTTGGTTGTATTCGAGGACAATTGTTGGTTATTTAGTGCAAAAAGAAATAAACCTGGACCAAGAACGTAAATCAGGAAATCTACACGCCATACAAGTACACGTCACAAACTTTGCAAATAAGACAGACACATGTCAGTCGGGTATTGGTTTTCGTCGATGTGAAAGCATCAGAGGAAAACAATTATAGAAACAGTCTTGGGAACTTAACGTCTGCTTTAGTATCTCCATTGTTAGCTGCGTCTCTCATTTACATATTTTCATAGTTTCTTTTCGTTTCGTTCCTTTCAAGTCTGCGTTGTCGTAGATTTTTTTCTTTTTCTTTTTTTTACATATGATCTATATGGCCCTTGAGAAAATAATTTCACCCACTTTTATTTCCTCCATTAAAAGAGTTTCTTAGACAGTTGATCACATAAAAGAGGAAAACGAATTAACACAAAGTTTTGCAGAAAATTAACTACAATGATATATTTATCATCTCTGAAATGAATTATAAACTTCAAAAATATCTATATAAAAAGACATGTAAAAACATGGTGGAAAATTGTAGAGCACACAGTAATCTTTCACAATGTACTTCACACTCCTAATGAGTTGGGAGTTCTAACCGCATTAGTAGTTTATTCTTTGCTTTAGTTTTCCATTAATACTATACTATATAAAGAAAGTTAATTCAAATTAACCCGTGACATAAAAGATCGTCAGGGTACTGGGTCCTTCATGACATTTCTTGTGTCAGTATGGTTACTTGATGGAGCTCATCTCCCCTCCAAATAACATGCTGTAGGGAATAATCCTGTCCTAACCTACTGGAAGAGATGGATTCATACCTTTCCCAATGACATTTGTGCGAAATGAGCTCGAACTATCTCAGTATTTGATTCGAAAAAGTAAACCACGTCAAGTCGGTAAGAAAGTAATTGAAGCCGAGGTGCCAGGTCAGGGTCGATTATATTACAGACCCTTCTTTGAATTTTGTTTATATGTATTTGATTCTGGGTTCGCTTGGTAAGTAAGATACTTGCGTATTTCACCCTACCAGTACTGGTGAGTGTTCCTGGATAACCCTTCCTTAATTGAAGATTGACGCAACATAGTCTTTCGTCTTCTACTTTGTTTCTTTTTGGCCTTGTAGTCCATTAAACTAAGCTTTCTAAATACCAATGTTTTAGTTTTTGTTTACTTTAGTTTGGTATAAGATCCCAAGCATGAGGCACACAGTGCGGATCACACTCACTACGTAGTCGTAATGATTAAACAGTTTAATAAACCCAAATGAATAAAAAAGTTTGGACTTTTGTGAAATCACTTAAACAATGCGTGGAAAGACTGATGTAAGCTATTGGTACTAAAAATAATCTTTTGTTACAAGGGCTACAAATAACTGCTGAACAACAGAAATTTTGACTTCTGATGCCTTTGCAGAAATATTTTACATTTCTTTATAATAAGTATTTTCGTGTCGTGGGAATTAAAAATAGAATCCCCACCACCAACCCCCAAAAAACTTAAAACATGAACTGCTGACTTCTTGAACAAAAAAGAACAAAAAAAAAAAACAAAAACAACTTTTTATGTGAGTTCGGTTATTTTGCTTAAAGGCTTTCATTATTGTCTTTGGCATTTTGGCACCAACATATCAACTCATAATAAAGGTGAAGTTTAAACTCCTTTTTATCTCGCCATCTTCATTTATTGACAATGATTAATAATACGTGTCTGTGCTTACGGCCACGTGAATGCATCATTCAAATATATACGTAAATATTAATTTATATGAATATTTATTAATTACTGTTCAAACTTGTTTGTATGTCTTTCCAGGCAACTGTGTATGTATGTATTTACGAAACTTAGCTGTGTACAGTTCAAGGTCACGGAGTATAATTATATCTTATTAAATATAACGGACAAGGACTCAGACTTGTCCCCTCCCCACCAGTTGTGGGTTGGTCAGGCGTAATACGCGCTATATATATATATATATATATATATATATATATATATATATATATATTTAACAAATATTGAGACAAAAAAATTTGTTGATGGTGGACTGACGTCTTTCCATCTCCGGACCATTAGCAACATAAAGGCTCCACTAGTTATCTCTCAACATTTACTTTTTTTACTTGAAAACTACCAACGATGTTCAAAATTACGAGAAATATTAGACTTAATTTCAGCAAGATCTTCTACAAGTTTTTACCCGACATCACTAGAAAAATTTTTTAGTGAATACCGATAAAAAATTATAAAAGAAATTAAAATAAAATTAAAAAGCCTCAAATTAAAAAGAGGTAGAAGAAAAGTTTGAACCCGGCTGCAAAATGGTGGGAGTTTGCAGGTCTAAAAGCTGCCAAAAATCAGCGAGGCTCCACGCATAACTTTCGCTATATAAAAATAATGAAAAGAAATGAATGCGGGAAAATAAAATAAGTTTGGCTAATCAAAAAACTAACACAAATAGACATTTGATTTTAGCCGAAACTAGGCTTCGCGACAGTAGTCTGGGAAACTTGTTAAAAGCTGACAGCCCTGAGGTAGAAGAAGAGAAGGGGGCGTGAGGGACATCAATTATGCGTGTTAATTGGTCATCTGCTTAAAATATTTCCCACCCTTCTTAGAGCCAGAAAGGACAGCGGATTGGATTGACGCTGAATCTATTTCTAAGATGACAAATATATATATATATATATATATATATATATATATATATATATATATATATATATATATATGCACGCATATGTGAGTGTGTGTTTGTGTGTGTGACACCTACTGGGGCGTTCTGAGGTTGACCCTTAATGACCCTTAATCACTGCCACCAATATGCGACCCGGTCGATCGGTGGTCTTCGCTACTCGGCGGGATCCTCTGGTCACATATCAAATGGGAAGGTTGGTCGATTTTTAACGGTACGAATACGTAAAGACGCAACCGGTTTGACACCAGCTCCATCGTTTTCAGCTCGCTTCCAATGACTAGTTACTGAAGTAACTACCTTGATCTCAAGTCTAACCCACCCACGATGTGATTTTGATCTTAGGTTGACGAGATCAATCAGACACCGGGGCGTCGTGCAAGGAGGTGACGTCGCACATGCAAAATAAATAAATAAAATAAAAAATAAATGGAAGCCAAAAAGTTTTAATCAGTCTGTTCTATACAGGAGTGTGTGTTCTTACCAACCTATTTCTTCTGAGATTGACACTTTCATACTTCTAGGCAAGTTCTGGTTTTCTAAGTCAACTGGTTTAGTTTTTTAAGTGCTGGCTTAGCTTCGTTCGTCAGTATAACTTGCTGTTGGTAGAAGGCGAAGTCGGAGGCAGGAATCGTGGAATCTCTCAGTCAGCTCTCTCGTAGCTTTTTGCAACTGCAAAACGCGAACTAGCGAACTACCCGAGGGCGCTCGCTTATAAGGACCGACCAAAACCCGGTGCGGGGTTAGACGCAGCCTGGGGTTTTCAGTGAATCTCCAATTTTCAACAAGGGTCCATTTGTTGTCTGACCAGGAAAATTAATTACTTCCAATCTTTTAAAAATTAATTACTTCCTATTTCTGGGGGGATCCGTTCGTCCGTGAGGAGAGGTTGCTTGATAGCTATCCTCCTAAACTCCCGCCCTCTTCCATTGGTACCTCATACCAATTCCTTTCGATGGATGTTAGCAACTTCTCCGTCTCTCTTAATATTTTACCTCCACCTATCAACACGCTAACACACGATCATGATCTGTCTGTTTAATTTTTGAATAAGGTGTTGAGTATGGTACTCGAAGTTGTGGATAAACTATCTGAAGTTAATATTTTGTCATTCTTTTTTTCAAGTAATTTCGACCATCGCAGTCATTATCAAGAACCAATGTGGTATCTTTGTGGTAGTTAGAATTCCTTTTTTTTACATCCTGGTATTCTTTGGAAACCTTGAAAAAGTACTCCTTTTCTTCTTCTTCTTCTTCTTCTTCTTCTTCTTCTTCTTCCCCAGCTCCCTCTCTATCTATCTCTCAGAATATTATTCTCACGTTTGCTCGTTTATTAGTATCGAAACTGCGTTTTTTATGTTTGTTTCAACGAGCATCCTCGGGTGATATATTTCTATGGGGATCTTTTCCTCCCGCCTCGAAAAAACAAAAACAAAGAAAATAGGTCATCGTTTTTATTCAAGCCAGAATTTTGACTTTCTCATTTTGTAGTTTGGTAAAACACAATGCATCTGTGCCTCTTTTTCTTCAATTGATTTTGTATCGCGCAAATTAATTTTTAAACGAATATTTATTTGGCTACATTTGCTTTTATGACAACAAAGCTGGTTAGTTTTATGATATGGTGGAGAAGGTAATGACTTCAACGATTTTCAAGCTTTAAAAGTCGGCAACTTCTCATTTAAAACTTTGTAAATGCTTCCAATTGCATATAAATATTTTATCATCGGGATATTAAGTGTTAGAGTACTTATTAAAAAAAGAAAAACATGAATTATTGGCTCAGGGTATTGATAATTTTAATATTGCTTTATTATTTCCTTAAGAAACCAAAGGCTTACGACCATATCACCTTGAAACACCGGTTCTTGTACGATCACTGAAGTTAAGCAACGTCGAGCTTGATCAGTATCTAGATGGATGACAGCTTAGGAATACCCGGTGCTTTGAGCTTGGATGTGAGAGTGGTGTAATGCATAATCGCTTGAAATTGGAACATAGAGCCAAGTGTGACACTCTGACCCTGGACTGGTTGCAGCACCATTTGTGACGTTCTAACCCTTGGCTGGTTTGGGTGAAAACCTGGATTACCACGGGACCATTTGTGGCACTAACCCCTCTGGTTGTCTTGGTCGCGGTCGATGTCTGGTTAGATTCGATATCAGTTTTGTCGTTCACAGCTCGCCTCCAACGTCTGGTCACCGGGCCGTAGTGCAAGCTGAATCCGAGGTAAAGGTGATACCGCACAAGTATATGCAAAATAAAAATAATGAAACAAACTCAGTAGGTTCAAATATGTTGAGAAATAACAAGTATCTTTATATCTGTCTGCTGAATACAGGAATGCGTCTTTCTCCCAGCCCGCTTCTATGGATTCGTGACACTTTTGCGTTTCTTAAGCCAGTTTTGATATCTTAACTTGTTTTTCAATAAACTGCTTTTTGGTATCTTCAGTCGATATTCATTAAAACTTGCTTTGGTGGTGTAAGTCTAAGTCGTTTTTCATTAAAACTTGCTTTTGGTTAGAAGTCTAAGTCGGAAGGCGTGAAAATCTTTCGGTCAACTCCTGCGAGGCTGGTCTCCGAGCCCAACAGCTCTCTGTCGATCTGTCTCTGATCTCCAACCCAACTCTATTCAACTCTGAACGCCCGGGGACGTTCGTTTATATGAACATCGACCAAAACCGGGTTGGGGCCTGTCGTGGTTTGGGTTCTTCGATAATTCCAAATCCCCAATAAAGATTCTCTTTGTCTTCGGACAGGAAAATTTATCACTTCCCATTTTTAGAAGTCAATTACTTTCTGTTTTAGAGGAGTTTTCCCCTTCTGTGAGGAGAGGTCGGAGGAGAATTATTTCTCATATTGGTATCTCATACCAATCCCTTCAGTGGGCGTCAACAACTTTCCTTTCTTTCTCATATGTTCACCTTCGCCCATCACTCACGCCACCACTCAGCCAATAAACGCTCGGCAGTGTGGGTGTGGCTAGACTGGCATTAGTTTACATTATCGCCCAAAGAAAAAAAATTATCTTCCCTTTTCTTTCTTTCTTTTCTATCGGGCAGAATGGACCGCATCTTGTGGTCATTAAATTTTTATCTTGCCTAGGGGCACCTGGAATTCATTAGCGGTATTCTCCGCCGACTCATTAATGATCGCAGTCAACTTTTAACTGGGTGGTCCTTTTCCACTTTGTCTTTCTCGTCTGCTTTTCTCGTCTGCCCGTTCTTGGTGACAGAAAGTCTGTTGTTAACAGTTTGAACAGGCAGTCTTAACGTCCATATCAAGGTCTGTATTCATACGGCTGGCTTCTTCGTCGGTTTTTAAGACAACCGAATTTCGATTACTTCGGCCTACATGCAGCTGACCGAATCGAAATTTTTATTATTGCTACGTGTGTGGTAAAATTGTTATTCTTTATCTGTATTCTGTCTCCCTTGGCGCGTCTCTCTCTTATCATGACATTAATTAATTCCGACATAATCTGAAACTTGCTTCTCTTACGAATTTTCTGTCTTCTGCGAAAAAATATCTTTCTTCGTAAATGAAAATAAAATCTTTACCCATTTTTCTTTTGTTAAAAAAAATAATGTCGCCCGGTATGTCTTTCGTTATAGCTCTTTTTCGCTTTAAGTATTTCTCGTTTTTAAGTTCTATGATTAATCAGTTAGCCAATTACCATAGCTAAATAGTGTTACACAAGTTCCAATTCCAGTCGTTACGTGCAAATAGCCTTTGGAAAGGCATGAATACACTTCTTCTCCCCACATATAGGTTAATTAGTAGGACTTGCATTATTATGTCCAAAAAACTTAAAATCTAAAAAATATTTTCTGGCATTAATTAACCCGCAAAAGGTTGATAAACCATAAAAACAAATCTGTCTAAGAAACCAAAATCAAAAAAGGATATTAATATCGGAGTTAAAAGTTAATAGCTTTGGAAATAGAAAATAAGTTTATTTAAAAAGTTTTGTCATCAATACCAAATTAAAGAATAACTTCTATAGACATTGTACGAACAACCATAGTGTAGACATTGAAAGACGAAACTAAAAAAAAAAAAACTATTGATAAAATTCCATCATTTCCCGTAAAAACTGTGAAGACGAGGAACAGTTTCGTGAGTTAGCACAAGACAGGATGTTTGGAAAGAGATATTTACAAAGTCGCTGAAGGTGAGAAATAACACTGATTTGCATTGTACTATCAATTCGAAACAGCAATGATGACGACTTCTATGTTTAACTCATCCGTTGTTTCTAACGAGATGTAATAAAAGCTCGTGTTATTTTTACTGTCTAATCATACGGAATTATATCGCTTGAAAAATACAATCAATAAATTTCTCTTTTCTCTGCAGAATAATTAACCTCATTTTGTTCGTGTGAGACAAGTGTTTCTTGATATGCATCATATATATATATATATATATATATATATATATATGGGTGGGTGTGCGTGGACGCAGAAATCAGCACTATATGGTGACTGTCAGTTTTAGGCCTCGAGCGAGACCAGGAACATTTATTTATGTACAAAAGATTTGGCACAAGGTCTAAAATTGGGAAAGGAGGTGCTGGTCTTCGCTGTCATAACGTTGAACGTAGCTACTTATAATTACTGACACATTCGCTGGAAAATGTTTCCACTCAATAAAGACAAAAAAAATCCCATTTATACTTATCAATCGTACTGCAGACACTATAATTTCTCTATGATGTCGTAACTAATCCCTATTTCTGTAAGCGCGCGTTGTAAAATAATAACAGTTATATACAATTAAAATTATCCTCAATTTTTATTTACAATAATTATATTTACAAAAAACAAAAACGATCTTCAGACCATTTGGGTGGGTTCTATATACAAGGTCTGTTCAAAACGTATCAGGACTGATATTATAAAAAGAAAACTACAACATAGATAAGTTGGAACCTTCGTCACGTGCTTCTCCCAATGTGTCTTTTAGTCTTCATGTATATGGGCGATCTTGCCTTGGTACCCTAGGTTCGATACGATGTTTCCCGACCCAAGGAAGAGTTTATTGCCCTGAACTCTAGTGGAACGAGACACGTACACTCATAGTATCGCGCCTGGGTCTTTCCTGGGTTATTTTCTCTCTCATTAAGGGTGTAGGAGGTAAACGTTTTCTGGGTTTTGGTCAGGGATCTGAAACTTAGAGTAACTTCGAACAGTGCTATCCTATCAGCATGTGTATAATATCGTGTCTATTCTACTGCCATTTTGTGAATGGTTTCTGGGCGTGCAGTAGTCTCCGGTAGAGCCTCTCGATGCCATGATGATGGGTACTGTTACGGCAGTATCTTCGGGCGAGTCAACCCAGGATATTTATGCGTGCATCTCCAATGGATGTCTGTTTCACTGCCTACTAGTCATTCACCAAACCTTCCAAAATAATCATGAAAGCAATCAAATTGAAAACGAACAAATTTTAAACACAAAAAATATAGACCCCACTTATACCATCTCTTACACCAACATAAGGGGTCTGCGTTCCAACTTTCCAGAAGTGGAACTCTATTATGTACACTCTAAACCTGACCCCCTGTTCCTGTCGGAAACGGGTATCAATGCCTCAATCCCATTCCAGGAGTTCACAATCCCGGGTTACTCACTCATTAGTACAAAATACGACCACCTAAACCGCCGCAATCAGGATCTCGGTGTCTGCATCAAAGACAGGATTCCCTTATCTCCCGTATATTTACTTCCGCGTGTCACTTATTCAAACTACTACATTCATCTTTGCCCTTTATCACCCTCAGGATGAAGGGTCGGTAATCTTCGATCGAATATCAGTGAGTAATGAAAAAATCATTACCAAATTTCCCTTGGTCAACTTTCACAAACAAAACCGATGCGGCAGGTAGATATTGAAGAGACTTCTCCGTCACATATGAACTAACCCAGATCACCCACCCGAGTCCCGAATGCGACGGGACAGTAGGCGGACCTCCTCGACCTTTTTCTAACATCCTCCCCTGACAAATGTTCAGCAGAGGTTTTAACCCCCACTGATACGTCAGATCTTTCCCTAGATACAAGAAAAAGAAAAATATAAAGGAAAGAGAAAAATAAAACAACAAAAACTAAGAAAGAAGATAACGACTGACAAAGTTGACTGGAAAGCAAAATGTCGAGAAAGAGTTCCACAAGCGAGAAGTGGGAGTGAAGAAATTGTTAACATAGAACTTACGGTTACAAATCAATTTCAACTGTAAAATGATGAGACCTTGCCGCTAATCTAGTACTGCGCTTAGTGAGAATCCAGCGTGAGATTAGTAGTCGCTATGCAGTGTTGATTTCTATATCCACACTGGCTATAGCTACGAATGCTCTGTCTCCGACGATGAGCACATTCCCCTCACAAATATCGCAAATTTCAAACACAATTTAAGTTCTCTCATTCGAAAATTATAGGATTTGACGACTACATGAAGCAGAGTAATAATGACAGCCAAAAACTTCAGTTGAACTGATGATGACAAATTTGGAATAAAAACTAAACACGAACTCTGAAACGAGAAGCTAAAAATAAGGAAAAAACAGAGTCTGGGATAGACGGGATATATCACGTCTACTATAGACCTTAATTTCTCTCGTCGTTCATGGCTGAAGCCACTCCACTGACGCTATCTCGTATGACCAAGTCCACCCGCATTACGACCAAATCAACTCACAAACATGACCTCATTTCACCACATTTTTTTATCACTTCTAATATATAACTGCATGAACTACGATTTGTAGTGTATGTAAATATTTAAAGTGTTTTCTCTCAAATGATTATATACATGTCCTTGTTTTTATTCGCCAATGGACATAAGTATTACTTATACCATAAACGGGTATCAATGCCTCAATCCCATTCCAGGAGTTCATAAAGTCATATATTGACTTACGACCATATTACGTTGAAACAAC